CCAGGCTTAAAGTTGCCAAGGTTGGACACCCCTGCTCTATACCATCTGTTATTCTATTTTAATACAGTTAAATTGTATACTCGTTTTAAGAGTGTTATGACTGTTATTTAATCAATTATTTTAACCATAGCATAAATGTTTTATACATTCATCTAAATTATGTGATATAGGCCACCAAGAGCTGTTAGATTGCCATGGGATACAAATGCAATCAATCAATGTTAACGTGAATCATTGCATCATGCTACAAACTATACAAGAAATATAGCTTAACTGCCAGATTTTGGATGGGTTGGGTGATAATGTAATTAGCAGCCACTAAATGAGACAGAAGGAGTTTCAATCTTCTTCCTAATATACTTTGAAGCATTCACTGCAACTACAGAAAATGTATCTCCATTTCCCAGCCCATCATTTCTAATCAGTCGGAACTAATAATCACAAATCAGAAACTGAGTAAATCCATCCAAATTTTGGTTGCTACAATAAGGGTATGTAATTTTCCCTAGGAAGGCAACTAAAAACAGCTTTTCAATGGCATGTCAAGTGCCACATTCCCAAAAATAGTGAGAGAAAGGGGAGATAGGACAAAAACTGAATTTGAAGGGAACCCCATATAGAAATATGATGCAACAAAACCCTCATGTTCGTGTTAACAAGAATAAATATTGAAAAATACATGCTGATAAAGGAAGTAATATAGAGTAACTAATAATTATTGATGGCTTTATTTTGCTTGACTGGGCAAAGCAACAATCAGTCTTCCCCAAAAAGTGAGTTTGTACATATCTTCCACATTCCATGGGAAAAGTGTCCTAATAGACAATACCTGATAAGAGTATTGCCTCTTTTGGTAACTCATAAGAGACATTGTCTCTTTTGGTAACTCTGAACTGTGCAGTAAAATCCAAGATCTTTTTAATTAACAAATTATAAATAACTGGGTTAACTAATCTGACTACATAGCTTTTATTTGTAGTTCAATATGTGCAGTTGTTACATTCTCTTAGTTTCCTTGGAACACTGGAACCATTGTTACACTGGTTGTGTGGCATCCAAAATTTGATCACATGACCCTGGGGATGCTGTGATGGCGGTAAGTGCAAGAACCAGTTGAAAGTCACTTTTTTCAGTGCTGTTGTTAACTTTGAACAGTCACTAAATGAATGGTTGCAAGTTGAGGATGACCTGCCCATCTTGCCTAGCCAAAGTTCCTAGCAATGTCTTAGTCCTGCAGTTCTCAGCATTGCCAAGTGGTCTAAGGAAGCCCTGTCACTTGCTAGGCTTTTTATTTTTTTCAAAAGCTCCCTGAGAGGCTTCATCAAGAACCAAGGCTCTCTACTTCCCCAGATCCAATTTCCATTCTTTTCCTGCACATTGTAGCAGCAAACATGAAAGGAAGATCTGCTTCTTCCATCTCTGTAAATAAGTCAATGTATACATGCAATGAATTGTACTGGTTTTCTTTAAGAGCTTCCTCTGCTATATAGAATAACAAAGCAGCAGAGGTCATAAAATATACTTGTGTATTATGTCTGTTAAGAGGATGGCAGCCTGATAGAGAATATAAAACTCCTGGATCTTCTCTGGAACCCATGATGTCTCCCCAGTATTGCAACTATCTGGCTAATAGTGAACTCCCTGTGTGAGCATCTCATGACATGAACCTCTTGGGGATGAAATGAAATCAGATGAAATAAAACCATCTACACGGAAAGGAAACAAGCATGTCCTCCTCACTCACCTTCTCTTCCCGAGTGGTCCCTACACCTTCTCCAAGATTAGTGTCTCGAGGTTGTAGCTCCAAAACAGTACGGAAAAGCTTCTCTGATGTTTGGGTTAAGAAGCCAATTTCTGCATTGGGGTGGAGGCCATATAGATATGGAGATTCAGGAGGTAGGGCATCATCTATATACTACACAGGAAAATGATATGTACACTCAGCAAATGACAAATACCACATATTCATTCATTCATCCATCTATCCATCCATTCATTAATTCATCATATTTATATAGCTTCCAATCTCATCGTCAAGTGACTCTGAGTGGCATGTAATGCTCTCAGTCATCTGCAGTTTTATTGAACCTCTAAGTTAAACCAAATCATCACGATACTGCATTTATAAGCAGATGAGCCCTGGCCAATTGTAATTAGTTAAAATTAATCATTAGGCATTTTCAACTGAGATATATTTTTCAGTATATTTTGGTATGTATCAGTCTCAGTCCTAATTAGAATACAGTTTTGATGACTGTCCAAGGTGACATTAAAGAGTCAAAAGTGTAACATTTTCAAAAATATTCTAAAATAATAATAGTGAGGATAAAGACTCCTGCTAGGAAATTCCTACACAGGTCTACAGAAAGTATAGTACAGGTACAATGACAGAGAAGCTAGCATCTTTCAGACATTTTGGCCCAAATCCCCTTAATTCCAGCCAGCATGATCAGTAGCAAAGATCGATGGGAGCTGTTGCCCAAAACATCTAGAGAAACCTGATACCCTGGATTGCAATTTGAAACTATTTTTGAGTTTACAGATAAAAATTTTCAATAGGCCTCCTAGGGCTAGAGAATCAACAACACAAATGTTTTTTTCTATCCTTGCATGAACTGGACAAGGACAGGACCAATTGTCATTTTACAATCAGAAAGAGTTATGAAGACAGAAGCAACAGATCTTGCCTAAAGCTCTGAATCCCTAAATTGCTTCCTTGTATGGCCATGAACTCCCACACAAATCAGGGCGCAAACCAAGACTACCTGATGATAACCACTGTAGTCCGTGTTTCCTGGGAGGGGAAATCCAGAAGCCAATAAGAATTCTCCTTCTAGCATTTCAGGCTTGATAAATTCTTCTAAGTAGGATTTACAGAGACGCCTATCCCAATCATCTGTAATGTGACCCCCATACATGATCTCTCCGAAGAGATACCGGAGGTCATCATAGGGAACCTAAGTGCCAAAAAGGAAAGTTAGTTGGGCCAGTTCCTTACAGCGTAGCAGCAGGCAATTCTTTTCCAATTCTTTGGAAATCTTAAAGCGGAAGTTTGTTTTTGTAGGAAACTGGGTGTAATATAGCAGTTATACAACTCCAGGCAACATCAGAGAGTTTTCATTTAGAGAAGCCCCAGACTGTGGAACAGATTTTGTATGTGTGTATAGATGTATGTGTGTGGACAACTGAAAGAGAGTAGGAGTGTCGCTGAAAACAAGTCTTCCCCCCATTCCTTAGACAGAAACACATTTATCTAAGCACTCAAACAAATATTTTTTCAGAGAAGTTGTCCTAGTACAAGCCAGTTAGGAACATTCACAGAAATAGGATGATTAGATGAAAAGCGTATTCTTTTCCAAAGTCACAAAAGGAAGGAGGGAAAGATGGCACATTGATAAGAGAACACTGCCCCATCCCCCTCAAAAAAAAAAACCTAGTGACCTAGTGATCATCTATTAGAAAGTTAAAAAGTCAGTTCACCTTAGAAGTAGCCTCCAAGTAATTGTATAGAACATTGACAGAAATTGTGAGGTCCCCAATGTTAAATGGGTATGAACGATTCCAGCCCTGAGGGCCAAATTTGCGCCTTTCTGCTACCACAGCATGGAAATAACAGAGGGCAAAAAGGATGCTCTTGAACTCATTCTCACGGGTACACATCTCCAGGGTGTCCTGCAGGAAAAGAGAAATTGGTTTCCATAATAAATACCATCTTAGTCAGGTGTGTTCAACTTGCAGCTCTGGATGGGCCCCCACAAGATCATAATAAAAAATATAAAAAAAAAATAAAGGAAGTTTGTTACTTATATACATTAACTATATTATATATTTCATATGGAGTCCAAGACTCTTCATACAATGCAGACCAGCAAAAAGGTTGGATAACCATGATCTAAGTTTTCAGGTAGGAGCCAAATGAAATGAAGAGCAATAATGACACACTGACCTACACAAAGAATTGGACAACAGTATCTGGGATTATGAAAATCTCCCCTCATCCTCATTACTTGCATTGATCTGAGAAATTGTGAGAAAGCCAACGCTTCTCTTCCAGACTTACTCAGTTTATTTTCCATTGATAATCCATTTTGGCACTTTTTGGCCATTTTCATGACTTATTAATAAATAAATTATTTAGATAATGATTTTTCTCTGAACAAATAAAATGTCACTTTATGGTTGTCACAATGCTTTTATCTGGTTTTTAAAAAGTCATCTAAAAGCATGCTTTCTGAATATTTGATTAAATACTCTCTCAAACAGCCTGATCTCTATTAGATGATGGCTCTTCTTATAGTCTACGTATAGTGTGGCTGGGAGACTAGATGGATAATTGCAGGAGTGATGTGACTGACAAATGTGCAACAAAAAGGGCTTGCTCTGTTTCAATTGTTTAGAGAACTTTCTGATCTAAATAAAGTCATGGGAAAAGAATCTCCATGGACTAGAGTTGGGATCAATGAACGTTATCAATTGATCAAATTTATGTCCCCTGTCTGCCATAACGATGTTCAAGAGTACTCTTGATTATTTGTGACAGAGCTGTTGTATGGTTAGCCAACACTCAACATTGTTTCCCATGTAAATTAGAAATAGTGCCTACAAGCCTTAGGAATAATTCTTTCCCACAATTGTGTTTAACCTCCTGAATGAAGAGTGAGACAAAGGCCTGAGTCACAATATTAGGACAAATGCACCCTGTGTTTATTTATCCTCACACATTTCTCTAGTTGCAAACTTGAAAGAACAGAATGCTTATGCAATGAAAAACCTACCCTTTTTGTTCAAAAGGAATGTGGTAATAAACTCTTTGTAGACCTGTTTGTTTAATTATTTATTTATTTAAAACACTTAATATAGCCACCCATTACATAACCAGCTCTGGGCTGCTCTAATCATGTTTTAATATCTCTATGTGAATTCATCTTGTACTGATTGAACTAGAAGCTCAAAGCTGTTAATAAAGGTACAGAGGTACTGTCATAGCAGTTTTGTAGGCTATGAAATGTTTTATTTAAAAAGTCAGCCATTTTGACATACTACCTGATTTGTAGAAGCAAGAAAAGAAATATTCCATTTCACCTCTCTTTCTGGAATATAGAATGTTTTTGTTTGTTTAATATTTCACTCTTATTTTTTATAAATCTCAAGGTGGTAAACCTACCTAATACTCCTTCCTCCTCCTAGTTTATGATGAATTATGAATGATAGAAGATGGGAAAAAGAACATGACAACATTAATCCCCATCCAGCTATGCCAATTCAGACATCCAGTGCTTTCTCCGAAGAGTGCTGAGTAATGACAGAAGCTGTTAGAAAGCTAAAAAGCAGAGCCTTTCCCCCAAAAAGCAAAAATGTTAATGCTTCAAACCTCCTGCATCTTCGACTGGGCTGGTTAAGAGCCTTAAGTTCAGAAAATTCATTCTCTTTTTCAAAGCAAGACTAGTCAACATACAAGAGGAAATGTTTGGCTAGTTTAGATAAACAATGTTGGCAGGGACTTTGAGATTACATACACAATTCAATTCTTGAGATGAGGTTCCAGTTATAAGAGATGTCTCACCCCCAAGAGCTAATAGACCTGAATGGAGTAATCTTAATCCAGTTGTATAGCATTTCCTTGCCTGGCTCTGAGACAGAGCATCATCTCCCTGAGGTGGGAGCAAGGATAGAGGGATACCTGGCTGAAGTTGTCCAGAGCCTTGTGCAGGTTGGCATGCATCCCAGTTGGAGGTTCATTTATGATTTTGATGGAATTCTCAAGGATACCCTGTGGTATCAGATGGCTTTCGGGAGAAGCTGCAGGTTCTGCACTGATAAAGGTCCGGAAATCAGGGTGGCTACCTTCGCTGTGCTGCTCTAGTTTCTTCTCCAGAGAACTCAACCACTTGGCCACTAGGTGAATGTTCTAGGAGAGAAAGGCAAGGTTATTAGATTCTTCTCTTAAAGCAGCTGCTGCATCTATATCTTGCGGAAGATAAGAAGTACTGTAATACACACACACAGACACAAACAAGAAGAAAAAAACACCTTGCCTAATAGCTCTGAGCACTATAAATCACTTCCCTGGGCATTAGCTGCACATAAACAATGTGGATTTTCTACACTTTGAAATGCAAATAATCAAGACAAATAGCCAGCAATTAAGGAAACAGTTCTGAATGTTTGTTTTCTTAGGGGTGATGATGGTATTCTGTTTGTTAGAATAATGTACTGTTACTGAAATAACATTATTTCCTCCAGACTAAACAAATTTCCCGTAAACGGCTGAAATAAAATTGTTTGATTATTCTCAATGAAATAATCCATCCTTGAAATCTAAGCTAGTTACCAGAAAATCAGATTTTACATCCTGCTCAGCTGAGGCCTTCAAATATTTGCAATGCTGGTACTTTTGCTCAGAATTACTCATTTCAGTTTACCACCATTCCAGCATAGACTAGGTTGAGAAAGACTGACTGGCCCAAAATCACCCAGTGAGTTTTATATGGCAAGCTGAGACTGAGTCTTCCCACCAACTGAGATACCCATTCTACACCATATTGCCTGATAGGATGAAAGGATGGGAACTTTTGATGTTATCTGAGAAAAATGTAAACATGGCACCAGCATGAATGCTATAAAAGAAAATGTTGCCTGGTTCTTTGTATGGGTAACTCCATTATGGAAGGCAAAAGCAAATATACAATATATATTTCTTTGAATAAAAATAAATAAGAAATAAATCTAAATTAAAGAATACTTTTATCAAACATTTCAACTTTGATCTATGAGTAATGAAAATGTTAAAGGAAGACTTAAATTATTCTATCAAGATCGAGAAATCCAGGGCAGTCATCTATCTCAAATAGAGATGCACAGAACCAAGGAATAGGGATTTACAAAAGCAGGCGGTTTCTAAACATGTCTTGCTTGTTTCCAGCACACAGAAAAATCTAATTTCCGACACAGCCAAGATTTCAATAAATAAGCAACGCTCATAACAATGGCGGGATGCTAGAGAAATATGAAACTGAACACATCTTCAGCAAGGCATATATATATTATTTATCACAATCCACAGATCAGAGTGATAGCTTTAAGCTAGTAGAGAGCCATCAATTTAGATAATCAGGGTCTTTGTGTGAGGAAGAACAGCTGAAAAGTGTGGGGAATTTCTTATCTTAGAAATGGGAAGGACTTTAAAAACCTTTCACTTCCAGAATAAAAAAAGGGCTATTGTTTGGTAGCTTTCAGGTACAAATTAAAGCTTAGCTTCTGGGGATACATCTGAAAGACTCAAGAATACAACACAGCGCAATCCTATTGCTAACAGAAGCTAATGTTCCTTTTTAAAAAATGTTATGGCCTTTCGGGAATGAGCACTATTTCAAAAGCCAACTGCATGCCAATCCGCAATAAGATAAAGTGCAGCAAGTCAAAGTGAAGCCATTCTAGGACAAGGAGAAAAAATTATATTGGAATTTTCACTCATACCAAAGAACAAGTCCATCCTTTTATAGAAATGAAATGTAATTTATCTGTGAGCAGAATTAATGTTATTGTGCTTTCTTCAGGTGGTCTGGTATCCTCATTTTTAGCCATTGATCAAACTTCACCAGGTCTTTTTATTGGTAATATTGGTAGTATTCACACAATGTGGGGGGGAGTGTTGTTCTGAGAGTAGAACAAGGCACTTCATCCCAACAAAACAGCAACCCTAGCCAGTCAAGTATTTACTTCTTTTTCTTGTGCCATATCCATCATCGGATGTTGGCGACCATGTTGGCAATTGTATTTACTGTAGTTACTGTATGCTGTAATTCTGAAAGGCACAAGCTCACTTTCTAATTTGAAAAGCAAGGAGAGGGGCACGGTGTACATTGCTGTTGTCTTATCACCACAGAATAAGCCAGAACTAGGAGACATATTGTCAAATTCAGTGTGTCTTCCAGTGATTTTCTGCCACTTCTGCTCCTGAAGTCATCAGAGAACCAAGGGGCAAACTGGGATTGGACAAACAAAGAGAGGCCATTCAAAAGTGTCTTTGTCAAGGAGCCAAGATACTGTCTCATGTCAGCACTGAATCTGGTCCTCAAGTTTATCAGGAAACTCCCTAGGTGCATGCTGGAAACCAAGGGAATCCATGAGGCATCTGAGACAGATTTTCTGAAGGGACTTGGCCCTGTGGAGGAAATGGGCAACAGTTGTATCTGGATCAGAGAATGTTCTGCCACAACAAAGGACAGGTGGTAATACTTTCCACATCTGGATCACCAAACAACTACTCAGAGGCAAAACCCAGGTCTACATGTCCCTCAAGGCCATTCCTTCCATCCTCTGCACAAGGGTACATGTCAAATCTGCCCATTCATCACCACCAAATTGTGGATGGATGTGGCCTTCTTACAGACAGATCTGGCATTAACCAACACCAACTGAAGGTCAGGTGGTCCAGCAAACCAGTCCCCAGTTCTCCTGGTAGAAGTAATCAAAGAAGAAACTATGAGTAAATTGGGTAAATTCTTCCCCTGAAATGAACTTGTCATTTAATATGTATGTGTATAAACTGCATCTGCTTGTGAATCAAATGACAAAAAAAAAGAGTGAAATTATATTCTTCAACCAATAACCATAAGAAGGAACCAATACCTCATTTTGAAAGAAAGTCCGGAAGAAGAACGCAAGCTAGAATTTTGTGGGAAATAAGTTTTCTACTGGGAAAAACAGTTTTAAGCTGTAAATAAACTAAGTTATTACTGGTTTAATAACTAACTAAACTTCTGGGACATTTTATAAAAAACAAACCAGAAGTTAAAGAATGTAGTAAAAAAAGAATGTAGTAAAATCAGAAACATGAACTTAATCCAGAACTCTAAATGCCTCAAAGGATATAATAGCACAATTGAATCAAATACAGCATTAGGGTGATCCGCATGGTAAACTGACTTAGAAAAGGATCCACAGCATTACCAAGGGCTGCACCACGAATGCACTGTCTGGATATATAGACATTTCATATGTTTGAATTGAAAGCCAGCGCCCAAGACTGCGTGCACTGGATCAATTAATGATAAAGTGGAACTGGAAGAATGTCTTTATGAACTGCAACTGTGCATTCTGACAGTCAGCAAAATCTTTCTCATTTCAGTGAATAGTTCAGAGCAGCTCCTGGAGTTCCAAATTGCAAGAATAAGACAAGAAACGAGAGTGTGGACACAAGCTGAAGAGTGCAAACAATCCTCAGATTTTTGAGGGGGGGAAACTGACAGAACACAACAGGCACTTATATACAGCATGATTAAGACAGCATAATTTAGGAATGTAGGCTTTTTACTGTGTCTCCCAGGCAATCTCAGGAACGCAGCATTCATCATAATGAACTAGGCATGGTGGCTGTTTTTCTTCTGTTGCATTACATTTCTGGAAGATTATTTGGTTCAGCTGCCTGGATGACATGTGACTGATTAAAATTGTCCAGGTGCCAAGTTTTGTGTATCCCAAGACAGTTCTTGGAGCTTATTGGTGTTCAAAAAGCAACACACCCACACACCACTGAGTTTTTTCTCACCAATCTGCTAAAGCCACTTTACTGTTGCACTTCAAAATGGTGCAAAAAACAAAACAAAACACACCTGTTCTTGCTGCTGAACTTGGTGGAGTTTCTCTTGTTTATAACGAACTCTCTTTTTTCTGGATTATTTGCAGAAAACACAGTAAAAAAGAGAATCATAGGATGAATGACTCAGAAGTCAAAGGAAAGGTAGCCCTCGACTTACAATGGTGATTGAGCCCACTCAGTGTCATGAATCATCACATGGCTGCACCTGATTTTACAATCTTTTTTGCAATGGTCATTGAGCAAACACATAGTTGTTAAACAAGCTCATTTTTTGCTATGGGCTTTTTTTTTTTTTTTTTTGCAATAAACCAGAATTAAGCAGAAGGTTCTGGCAAAACGGTATAAATTGCAGCCACCTGACCATGGACATTGCAAACAGATTTAAATGCAGGTCAGTTGCCAAGTGTTCACAATGCAATTATGTGAGCACAAAAAAGGAGGCAGCTGTTGGAACTTTGATTCCAGGTCTTAAGTAGCTTCTGGGGGATCCATTGTAAGTTCAAATGGTCAGTAAGATACTGATTGTATGTCAAGGACTACCTGTATCTATTGAACACATTTTACAGACAATCCTTGACTTCTGACTGGTTGCTTAATACCCGTTCAAAGTTATGATAAACCTCCCCAGGAGTATTTATGATCTGGTTCTGAAGTTCCAATGGTCAGGATTCCCTTGCAGACACGTGACTGCTTTTCTCACCCTCTGCCATCCATCCCCTTCTCCCTTTGCCTTCAATTCATAGGGAGTACTAACAACTCAATTAGGAATTAGTCAATGAGTTAAATGGTTTTTGAAAATTTTAAAACTTCAATTTCATTAGCATGCGTTACCTAATTCCATGATTCTTTTAAAAATGTTAAATTAAAAATGAAATTAAAAAAAGACCAACTACTACTTCTGCAAAGGTGTGATCATCAGCTACTCCTGACTTTTGATATTGAAAATTTCACGTAAGGTACATACCTTTCCCTTCAAGGATTAACTTGCTATGTGGGAGAATCTGAGCATATGCATGCATGCTCCTGTTAGAAAGGCACCCAGCGAGTAGCATTGAAAGGAAAGAAGCCGCTTGCGTAATTTACCAGGGAAACGTTCAGACAGAAAAGGGGAATGCACATACAAGAGACATATGTAGGTAATGGTTTTAAAACATTATTTGAAAAAAAATATGGTGTTGCAATGGATTTCCATGGAAACAATGGCGGACACAGATTTGGTTTGGGGGGATTCAACAACCTTGGAGAACAATTTGCTGGCAAACAGGTCAGTGCATCAAAATCCCTCTTTTTAGATAAAGGGGAGGAGC